TGTCTTCGTTTTCTTCCGGTCTTTACATAAATATTTCACATGGTTATAAATGTAATGTGCATATAATTTTTTATTTTGCCTTTTTTTTTTTTAACCTTAACCTAAACTCTTTTTTAAAATCTTAGCCTAATCTCACTAGCCTAAGCCAAATCTTTGCTACTAGAAGTAGCTCATAAAAATCTTTGCTGTGGGGGCAGGCCCCGTGGCCGAGTGGTTGAGTTCACGTGCTCTCCTTCCGTGGCCCAGGGTCTCGCCGGTTCGGATCCTGGGCGCGAACATGGCACTGCTCATCAGGCCATGCTGAGGCAGTGTCCCACATGCCACGGCTGGAGGGGCCCAAAGCTAAGAATGCACAACTATGTACTGGGGGGCTTTGGGGAGAGAGAAGTAAAATAAAATCTTAAAAAAAAAAATCTTTGTTGTGACTTAGTCGTGGTTAGTAGATGTGAAACTTCAACAATTCCATTTTCATGTGGACTTTCTAAAGACTAGTCAACAAGTTTTTCTCTCTTCCTGTTTACTCTTGATTGAAATGACTTAATTTTTTTAAACAATATACTTCTAGCCCTTTTATAGTTTTCTTCTGCCTATTATAGCTTTTTTAACTTTAATTATCTTATGATTTGCTTGCTTTCAAATTATCCTTTTCAAATACTAGTCTAAGAATTTTTTACCACTTTAATCAAAATTGAGCGGATTGAATATACAGGGGTTTTGACCAAATTCATTTGTTAGGACAGTTCCTATGGAAAGAACAAAACTGAAAGTTTAAATTCTTGTTTGCAATTCAGTTAAACAAAAAGATTATAAAATAGATATACTGTATGCATATAATTATGTTTTTTAAATGTCAGGAAGAAAATAGACCAAAATGTTCACAATATCTCAGAGATAAGACCTTTTTTTTCAACTCTATGAGTCTGTCTGTACTTTAAAAGCGTTCTTCACTGGGTATATCTTACTTTTTATGATTAGAAAAAAATACATTATAAATATTTTTCATAAAACCGCCTGCATGTTGGAGAGTATGTAAATAAGCTAACCATTCCCACCCTTCTGTACTAAATTTTTACCCTCCAGGCTCCTTTCCCCATTTTTTGGAATTTCTCTGTCTTAAAGTGAATGACAGTCTCTGTATATGTAGGAAATGTGACTGACAGGACTAAAAGAAGAAAGAGAATAATCTAGATATAGGAATATCATTATGTGAGTAATAGCAGTAATGTGTGTCATTTTTGTACTTACTATGTAACATTTCTGACATTTCTCAGAGTCAGGATTTGAGACTAGAAACCATGACTTAATTACTTGGAGTTTCTCTAAGAGCTGATACACTTGCAAAGAAAAAGAGAGTATATGTTCTAGATTATGTTTTTACACAGAGTAGTTTCTCAGGATGCATTGTATCCCTGTCTCTTAACTACTCTTTTCTTTATTTTTGAGGAAGATTGGCCCTGAGCCAACATCATCTGTTGCCAATCTTCCTCTTTTTTTTCTTTTTCCTTTTTCTCCCCAAAGCCCCTGTGCATAGTTGTATATCCTGGTTGTACATCATTCTAGCTCTTCTATGTGGGACGCCACCTCAGCATGGCTTGACGAGCAGTGCTTGGTCCGTGCCCAGAATCTGAGCTGGGGAGCCCCGGGCTGCCGAATCGGAGGGCGCGAACTTAACAACTATGCCACTGGGCCGGCCCCTCTTAACTACTCTTGGTTCTTCTCTCTCTGTAGCATTTTATATAATAGGTTTTCTCAGTGTTCTAACTACCTTGGGCTTCAGGGAAGAGTATTTTTGCAAACTTACGTGGGTTTAATAAAACCCAATAAGTTTATGAATCTTCTATGTTACCCCCTTTTCTCCAAGTCCAGCAGTTATCTCCTAGATTGCACAGGGATAGGTTGTCAGCTCTTAATTTGCAAGAGTGACAGCTTTGACTCCAATAGAGCCTATTTAGAAAGTACATGAAAAACAAGGGACTCTTCCCCTCACGGGGATGACTTGTCAGGCAGCTTGCAGATGGCTAAAAAATGTAACTGCATCATACCTTCTATCTGAAAATGGAGTCATTGCCAGTTATAAGTTTTGATGTGGCACAATTATCTGGAGTCCATATTGCCTTCATGGGGTGCAAGTTGAAAATGCATGCGTTTCTAGCTTGATATAGTCCTTGACATAAATTCTAATGCTCTGTCAGAGAATCTTCCTAAAACCCAATGACTAAACTTGTCTGTGTCACCAATAATTTCCTGAATTTATACCTTAATTATTTCCTTAATTATCTTCCTCTGAAGAAAAATAGGATTTTTCTGCCAATAATGTAAGAATTTGCAAAAACCTTGAAATCATAGTATTGCCTTTTTGTTTGCTTTTACCATTTTCTATTTTAAAGTAGTAGAAATTAAATGGGCCTGTAAGAGTTTAGTTCTTATGCAGGGAGGATGTGGGCTGCTTTAGGCATCTCTGAAAATTAAGATGATTCTGAGTCTCACACAGACACTGTCACTCATCCTGTGGTGCGTTAATGCAACACGAGGAGGAAAGAGTCTATGTCATTGTGTTAGGAATGTCAGTAATACCTCTTTTACACAGAGCTGCTATCATTTGTTCAGTCAACAAATTTGAGTGCCCACCCTGTGCAAGGAAGTTTGCTTGGCACTATGGATGATGCCTTAAAGATATTTTAAGTAGCAGAATGACCTAGTCAAGTCAGTCATTTAGAAAGGCTGTCATTCAGTCAGCATTGTAGATGACATGTTAAAGTAAGAATTGGAGGCAGTGAGTTAAGAGACTGTGTCAGAGTTAAATCAGTGCAGTAGTAAGGGCCTAATCTAAGATGAGGCCTTGGAATGGACTAGAAAGGAAAGAACAAATCTGAGGCAGTCTTAAATTTACTTCCCCTTTTCGAGCTAATTCACTGTTGTCTTTTAAATTAGGAAGTCAGCCTCTCTGTCTCTTTCTGTGTTTCTCCCTCCTTCCTTCACTCCCTACCTCTTCTCCCCACTCTAGCGCACTCAAAATTTTACTGCAACTCCCCATCAATAAAGATAGGAGAGGGATGTGTATCTCAGCCTCACTGGGCACACTAGGTGTGTGTGTGTCTGTGTTCAGGTTTTAAGAGGAGTGTCTCTTAAAGAGGTATGTGCTTTCTCTCACTCCTTTTTGTGGATTACTGCTTTAAATCAAAACTTTAAATTACCACTTGAACAGAGTGAATAAGAATTCCTGCTGTGTAAGTAGCTGTTTTTTTAAAAAGCGTGTTAAATATGTTGTTTCCAGTGGAAAAAAGTTTTGTTTACTGTTTTTGGGTTGGGTACATTTGATGTAGTCCTGAAAAGGAAAGTTTATCTGTATCTTTGGTTTTTGTTGTTTAGAGGAAACTACTCCTGAGTTTATATCTGATCCCAAAGTATCCTCCAGAAAGTGGTCTTCCCTCTTCCATGAATAGAATTTAGATCTGAGTTCGTGCATATTGAAATAAAATTTAAAATACAATGTACAGGTTCCCCAACCTCTATAACTCGTAAAAAGGATTCTGTTATGGAAGCAGAATTAATCACAAGCATTTTGGAGAGATGCACATAAAACAGACTGGTTATATAAAACCAGAAGATCCATAAAAAATGAAGAGACCACCACATACATATATAGATAAATACACATATTCAGTGTAACACTGTGAGGCAGTAGCAAATTTAAACCTACCCGCAGTTAAAATAATCTGAGTTCCATACTTTGAGAAAATGGGCTATTTTGAGGAGGCCACAAAGGAAGAAGAACAGCTGGTCAGTAAGGTTTTCTTGTTCCCGATGGTCCCTGAGGGGAAGGATGAAGAAAAGTTTGCTATGAGATGTGTGTAACAAAGGAGATTTACAGTGTCTTTTTGTGATGATGCAGTGATTTTGAGAAGAGTGTGAAATGTCTCCTTTTCCTTGTTCCCAAAACATTGTGACTGTTCATATTCTACTGTCTTCCAAAAAAGATTCCAGGCTTTCTTGGAGAGGTGGGTTGGTTTAGTCTCAGTGCATCATCTTGTCTTTCTTCAGGGAATCAGATTAGATGGTATGCTTCAGCTTCAGTTTATTCACTTTTGATAATGTCTGTATTTATCAAGTGACCTTCCTTTCACTCTTCTTTCTACTCGTCTGCCTGTAAGACCTCACTTATATTTGTTGACTCATGTATTTCCTTTTAATATATTCTATCTGTTATGTGATGTTTAAATTGTACATCCAAGTGTTGAATGATTTTTTGAAATTAGTAAACCAAATGAATTTTAAAAAATTCTTTGTAAGCTTAATTTTCCATCTAGAACTTCTGATACAATAGAATAATTTAGTAAAAATTACTGTTTTCTTTCTTACTTTTCATCCCAGCAGTATGAAAGGTGAGGCCAAAAGTATTGATCTGAAATGAGAAATGAATGTTGTAGAAGTGCTGCCTAGCTAATGAAACTTAAAGTGTCCTTTTATTATCTAGAAAGCTCTGAAAAAACAATCTGGAATTTTAATATCTTTCTTGGTTAAGGGAACCTTAGATATCGTCATCTAATCTCACTCTTACTCTTTATAGTTGAATGTAGTTGAATATCTAGTATAATTGAATAAGCCTGAGAAGTGTGACTTGCTTAAGATCACATAATTGATTAACGATAGAAGCAGACCCAACTCAAGAATTGGCTAGTGGGCCAGTTTCTTATATAGATCCTCGGCACATACTGAATTATGTGCCTGGCTGTGTCCTAACCAGGAAATAGGAGGAACCCAGGCCACTGGTTAGAAGAGTGTATGAGCTGATGTGAACAGTTTGTGCCTAAGACGTCTGCCATTGCAATATCTGGGCCACAACTACACAGTTGCTCACTTTGTCATCCATCTGTCTATCTCCTCAGTATGGATGAAGCCCTCTTTTGTTCTCCTAAATTTGAATACAGGTATCATTTAGACCTAATATTTCCAAACATGGCTTCCCAGTGGTAAGTAATGGGCCTGATCTTGTATTGCAGCTCAGACAGCTATAACTGCACCAAAGATGTGGAAGAAACCAAAAGATCGGACGCGAACCACTGAAGAGGTGTTAGAAGCAGAATCGGAGGTAAGGGGAGAGCAGTAAATCTCTTTAGCTCATCTTCAAAGCAGTGGTGCCATTTACTAAGACAAGTGTGGGTTTATACCTCTTTCTTGAGATACTGTTTTCTGAGCAAAACTTGATATATATCAAGCTCAGAGTCTGATTTTTTTTTTTTTTTTTTGAGGAAGATTATCCCTGAGCTAACATCTGCTGCCAATCCTCTTCTTTTTGCTGAGGAAGACTGTCCCTGAGCTAACGTCTGTGCCCATCTTCCTCCACTATTTTATATGTGGGACTCCTGCCACAGCATGGCTTGCCAGGCGGTGCGTAGGTATGCGCCTGGGATCCAAACCAGCAAACCCCGGGCTGCTGAAGCGGAACGTACAAACTTAACTGCTGCACCAGCAGGCCAGCCCCCAGAGTCTGATTTTTTTAATATCCTCATTTACAGAATTTAAAAGATTTTTAATAGCATGTTCAATTTCATTGGATTTTTAAGTTATTGTTTAATTTTTGTTTAACCCCTCTGTCCACTGAATTGAATTTTTCCTGTTAACCAGATGGAAAAACTAACCTGGTAAAGAAAAATGGAGGCAGTTTTTTAAAATTCCCATTAGCAATGGTGGTAGAAATCATTGGATACATTTTAGGGAAATGCATTTTGAATCTGTCATCTTTTAACTACATTCCAGTAACATAACTGTTTGCATACGATTTGTCTATTTGAACTAAGCCACGACAGATTCTGCTGTAGGTTATAGCATGCCAGGTCCAGGAGATGCTGTAAGGAAGAAACAAGGTCAGATTTAGTCTAAAGGAGTTCTCTAACAATTTTATAGTCTGCAATCTCAATATCCATAGTGTTAAGTACTGAAGCCTGTAAATGAAGAGTAATATAAACAATCTGTATATTGCTTTTTTAAACTCATCTACTTTATTAAAATTTTTATTCAATGTTTAAAATGATAACATTAAAATGTAGAAATTATTTTAAATTAGCTTTAAATGAATTTACTTTATAAGACTTTTCTATCTAGGTACAATTCTTGCCCTCTTCCAGCAGCTCGCAGTACGCCTTTGTTGCTTCTCCATGTCCTGTCATTGCTCTTAGATGCTGCTCCTTTGATGTCACAGTTAGTCCCATAGCAACCACTAAAATGTTGCCTGAGTGTGATTTCATCGTGATTATCAGGGGGTAAGAATTGGCAGTAAATTGTAGAGGTGCAAATAGTTACCGCATTCCTCTTGCAGCTGAACAAGAAAATGTTGCTCCTACAGAGAATAAAATACCTTCCAGAGGCAGGGGAATTACATACATTCCTGGTATGGCTGTAAGAGCTTCATAAACTGGTTTCTCTTTAGATTCAGCTGTTTTTTATTCATTTTCTTTTATTAGACTTAATATTCCTTTGCCCTGTGGCTAGATTCCAAGCATTGTTGAATATTAAATGGGTAGGCCATTGCTCCTGTGCCTTCAAATATTCATCCTATTATTTAGATTAGAGGTTGGCAAACTTTTCCTGTAACAGTCCAGATAGTAAATAGTTCAGGCTTTGTGGACTCTGTGATCCCTGTCACAGTTTCTCAACTCTGCTGCTGTAGCCCAAAAGCAGCCATAGGCAATGTGTAAATAAATGAGTGTGGCTATATTCCAGTAAAACTTAATTGATGAACATTAAAATTAGAATTTCGGAGGCCAGCCCAGTGGTGCAACAGTTAAGTTCGAATGTTCTGCTTTGGTGGCCTAGGGTTTGCTGGTTCAGATCCTGAGTGTGGACATGGCGCCACTTGGCAAGCCATGCTGTGGCAGGCATCCCACATATAAAGTAGAGGAAGATGGGCACAGGTGTTAGCTCAGGGCCAGTCTTCCTCGGCAAAAAGAGAGGGATTGGCAGCAGATGTTAGCTCAGGGATAATCTTCCTCAAAAAAAAAAAATTAAAAAAACAGGGCAGATTGGCAACAGATGTTAGCTCAAGGCAAATATTCCTCAGCCGAAAAAAAAAAAAAAGAATTTCATATAATATTCACGTGTCATAAAATACTCTTCTTTGGAATTTGTTTTCAGCCATGACAAATGTAAAAACTCTCCTTTCCTTGCACATGCAAGAAAGCAGATGATGAGTCACGTTTGACCCTTGAGCCATAGTTTGCTAAAATCTTCTTTAGATTGTTATTCTTCATACATGAGAGCTGTTTTGACTCATTTTCAACAAATCACTTTTTTTAACCTTACAGTTTAAAAGTATAATAAATAGGTTTTTGGTCATTTGCACACAGACTTTTTTCCAGAAGTTAGTCCCTTGTCTTTCCTAAAGTTGAGCATTTGTTAGAGTAGTTTAGTAAATATTGGTTGTCATTGTCTTCATTTTCACTAATTATCAACCTCTCCTTTTCTATTTTTCTCAGTCTTTGAAAGAATGTGTTTTAGGTATCAGTATATTTTAGGTTGCATATTGGGTTGTTAGATCATTGTGACTATTTTATAAAATTCTGTAAATTTTAGCCTAGAAAGATAACATGAAGGATGGGTAATCTTAAAGTTGCCAGTTGAAGCATCTTAAAATTTGTTTAAAAATTTTAGGATATTTCATCAATCATTGCATACATAGTTGTCAGTCTGATTTTCTAGTGCTTTAAAAACTAACGCAGTAAGCAGGCAGTTTTGTCAACTAAATTCTTCTTTTAATAAGTTCCCATAAAAGGTTCACCTTTGACAGTCCAGCCAAGAAGGTGCTTTCTTTCTTCAAACTAGTTTTCCAAGTAACTGATTTAGGACCTGTTAGACACTTACAAACTGGTTGAATAGAGCTTCATCCTGCTGAAAGAAAAATAATCATCATAAATATTTATTGGAGCTATTTTTGTGTATTCCCTTAAAAAATATCCCTTCTAACAGTGTGCCTCAGACACACCAGTGATCTGTGTTCTCTGAAGTATAGTTTGTCATTCATGGAACAAGTTTCTTTGTACTTCTTTTTCTAGTTAGAAATTGACTTTCCAAATAATGCATCCTCTCTTTCTATCCAGTGGATTGTCTGTTATTGATTTTAGGTACATAGAAGAGGACCCAATATATATTTTCCTCTAAAATAGCATTTTTTCAAATTTTATAAGATGTAAAATAAGAATTCTATATAATTGTATAAGTACTATTTTTAGACTTACGTGTCAAATTATTAAAGATCTTCTTGATGAACCTGTACTTAATTATAAGGTAGCATTGCAAATGTTAACAAAAGTGGTGTCTTAATACTATCTTTTAATAAGATGATATTAAAAGTGTTTTAAATAAACTTACCATTTTGGTATCATATGCTGAACACAGACATTCTTATTTTGAGTGACATGTTTTCCTGTTTTTTGAGAAGATCAGTGTAGGTCTTCATGTATATTTACACACAGTGAAACTCACACATTGAGTTAATTTAGACTATAGTAGAGTATAGAATAAGAAAAAGTGTGGCTGCTAATTCATGATTCAAACTTGGTGGATCTATTTTTTCTCAAAAGATACTTTACCAGGGCTGGCCCCGAGCCCAAGTGGTTAAGTTCGCACACTCCACTTCCGTAGCCCAGGGTTTCAGTGGTTTGAATTCTGGGTCGGGAAATGGCACTGCTCATCAGGCCATGCTGAGGCGGCGTCCCACGTACCACAGCTAGAAGGACCCACAACTAAAATATATACAATTGTGTACTGGGGACTTTGGGGAGAAAAAGGAAAAATAAAATCTTTTTGTTTTTTTTTTAAGATTATAGAAACAAGGCATAAAAACCATCTGTTTCTGTTGATAACATTTTAAAATGTAGTGTCTTTTCCCCATGGTCTGATGTATGGTAAAAGAAAATTTACTAATATTGTATCTATTGTAATATTTCACTTATGTAACAGAGGATTTGTAACTCTTTAATTTTTTTTGCTGAGAAAGATTAGCCCTGAGCTAACATCTGTTGCCAGTTTTCCTCCATGTTATATGTGGGTTGCTGCCACAACTTGGCTGACAAGTGGTGTAGGTCTGTGCCCAGGATCCAAATCTGTGAACCCAGGCCACCAAGTGGAGCACACCAAACTTCACCACCACACCACGGGGCTGGTCCCTCTTTAACTTTTTTTTAAAAAATTTCATAAATCAATTTGAGTAACTACTTCCTCATGTATATGACATTCTTTTATATAATCCTTTATTGAACCAATTCAACAGAGCCTCTAATTTTGGCTTTCTTAGCATGAATTTGTCAGTTGGAATGCCTTTTCCCTCTGAGTTCTTCCAAAGGATTGTTTTCAGAATGCTTACCTTTCATGAAAAAGTAGGACGCTTAAAGTTAATGGAGAACTTTGCCTGAAGGAGTATTGATGGTTCATATGGCCCTTAGGAAATCCATTTTTGGGGGCTGGTCCCGTGGCCGAGTGGTAAGGTTCGTGCGCTCTGCTGCAGGCAGCCCAGTGTTTCGTTGTTCGAATCCTGGGCGCGGACATGGCACTGCTCATCAGACCATGCTGAGGCAGCGTCCCACATGCCACAACTGGAAGGACCCACAATGAATATATGACTCTGTACCAGGGGGCTTTGGGGAGAAAAGGGACAAAAAGTAAAATCTTGAACAAAAAAAAAAAAGAAATCCATTTTTGTTTGATATCTGAAACTGAGATGGTCAGAAATAATCTGGTGAAAAACTTCAATTCTATTTTCCCTTTTAAAAATAGGCTGGATACACCAAAACCCAGATTTCTCTCTATGAGAATATATTCCAAGCATTTTTCCATATGTGATTTGAATAGGGTCACAGCCTCAGAGAATTCCAAAAACCAAGAAATAAAATAGACTTTAACTCACAATTGGCCTCCTTATAAAATGAGAGATGTTAAGCTTTGTGAGATGTACTTTATTCATTGAACTCTCCGTTTTGTAGCCAGAGGACAGCACAAAAAATACCCTTTAGTTTCTTTTTATATTTGCTGAGCTTTAGTGGCAAGGGTTGGAGTGCTTGATTTAGATTTCTGACTAGGACTCTTTCATGTCCATCAAGTTCCAAGGATTAACAGTTCTTTCCATTCTAACCTTTGGTACATTTAGATTTCATTAGTCATGTTAAAGCATTTCGGTAGCCATTTGAGTTGTCTGCTTTATCCCAGATGAAATGAGAAAAGAGTTTTAAATACATTTACTATTCTAGTACCACATACGGAACACAGACATCCTTATCTTGAGTGGCATGTTTTCCTATGCTTTTTGAGGGGGTAGGTGTAGGTCTTCATGTATATTTACACACAGTGAAAAAAATATAACCTCTGTGTTCACTTATGCTTTAGCCTAAAGCTGAAGAGGAGCTTTCAGGTGACAAAGTACTTGACTCTGAACAGGATAAAATGAGCCAAGGGTTTCATCCTGAAAGAGATCCCTCTGACCTGAAAAAAGTAAAAGCCTTGGAAGAGAATGGAGAAGAAGCTGAGCCTGTACGTAATGGTGCCGAGAGTGTTTCTGAGGGTGAAGGAATAGATGCTAATTCAGGCTCCACTGATAGTTCTGGTGATGGGGTCCCGTTCCCATTTAAACCAGGTAAGTTTATCCCTGACTTCCTGTGTACGTCTTTCCTTCTCCCCTTCACTCTACTGCAGCTACTTAGAGAAATGCTGCCTCCTCATAGAGAAGTATTGGACGGAATGAAGAGGCTCATCACAATGTAATAGTCATGGGGTAGATCAGCAGGCATAAGGTAGTGCCGAGCAAATCCAGAGAGTTCTGGGTTGGCGGCAGTGATATCTGATGCTGGTATTCTTCTTCTGGCATTGGAAGAGCAGCTGCCAAAGGGAATCAGTGCTAGGCTGGTGGAATTCAGTGGGAGAAATTTAATGTTGTTCACTTTCATTGAAAGGGATATTTCAGATATGACCATGTCCCTTGGGAAGATGGTGTACTCGTCATTTCACAAGCCTTGAATTCAGTTTGTTGACAGAAATCACTGTAGAACTGAACTCCGATAATCAGTCAGAAGCAGTGTGGCTGAGTTATTGAGGGCCTGCAATATGGGAAGTGCCCTGTGAAGTACGTGATGAACCCCAGAGGCTCTTTCCTATTTAGACACCATCAACTGCATTAAACCTCTGTCCCAATACTGTTGTGATTTTGAGATTTATGAAGATGTATGGACATGTGGGGAAAGGTAGTTCCTTTGATAGGAAATTTGGGATAGGTAAAAAGTTTTTCTTAGTCTGCCAAATCTTAAGTGACTTCTGCATGAGGTAGGTAGGATTTGAATGTAAAATATCAGACCTTAAAAATAATCTAGATCAGTGTTTTTCAGACTGCTGGTTTTAACCCATTTAATATATTGTGAAATTAATTTGGTGAGTTACAACTAACATTTTTTAAAAAGGAGAATAGAGGAAAACATGTCAGTGCATTACATGTAGTAAGGATAAGTATTGTTTTAAGAAACTTTTGTTTCATTTATCTATGTTTTTTCTGAGTCATGAAGTCATTATATTTCTTACTGTGAGTTGTAGTCAAAAATGAAAGCCACTGATTGATACTACCTTAATATACTGATCTTTTCACAGTAAAGTGCTGCTGATGGGCTTTATGAAGTTGTAAGGTTGTGCTGTTGTAAATTTTTTTTTAACCTTTGGACTCAATATAATAAAATTAATTCTAAACATCTAAGCTTATATCAGATTGTCAAGCACTTATGACTGCCACCTGTCCTTCTTAAGGGAATTGAGACACTTTTGTCATTTTTAGGACTGTGTAAATTATATTTTTATCCTTCAGTTTGACAAGGAAAACGTATACAACTATAGGCCCCATCTATATTGATCCGAACTGTCTTTTACCCCTGTAATAACACTAGCAGTCACTGGAAAAAAGTTTAAAGTTTAGATCCCAATAAGTTATCTACCTTTTAGTAAAGATAATAAAGTAATAAGGATTTGGTGAAAATATCAGCAAAATTGTCACAGACCATCAGTGAGTCTTTGACCTACACATTAAGGACCACTAATACAAAGAAGGATCCAGTGTGCTATTGTGAAGTGAGCTGGGGCCCGATTTTGATGAGAGTTTTGTTAATTAAAAGAAAAAAATTGACTTGCTTTTATTATCCAATAAAAATTTCAAGAAATTCTCCAACTTTGTGTAATGAGAGTAGGATTGTGAGTAATGATAACTTAACAATAGCAATGTAAGTACTGTGGCAGAAAGCTAATTTAAAATTCATATTAAAAATATTAGCCAAGAACGTGTTTAGTGTCAGGGTTTTTAGAGAAAGATTTGTGCATTGACAGTTTAGTTGGCACAGCAGACAAGTACATTATTTTCTTCAGATTAAACTGTAGTCAGAAAAAAATTCTGTATCGAGCTGCTTAGATTTTTTAGAATCTTAAATCAGTTGTTTTTGTCTTTTGTGTCCTTTTACCTTTTTTCTCCTCCAAAATATCACTTCCAAGTCAACAATCAAAGTATCCTTCTTTCCCATGAAACCAAGAGTATTATCAAATTCCTTATTTCTGAGGTATTTAAAGGCTTGCTAGTTTATTTAATGAGGATTGCTACGTATCCCTAGGCAAACCTGCATAATCTGTTTGAAGTTGTTCCTATAGCAGCTTACTTCAGATTACTTTACTATCCAGAGGTATCCAGAAGGCATAAAAGAAGAAATGACAGTTTAAAATCTTTACATGACATTTTCTGACTGTAGCTCACTGTTTCCTTTGTGTTTTTGTTTATTTATGATGAGATAAAGTAAATGTTGGAAACTGGTTTGTACTCCTACTAAATATACATGCAATGACCTTATAGACAGTTGTCTGCCTACATCCCTCTTTCTAGAATCCTGGAAGCCTGCTGATACTGAAGGCAAGAAGCAGTATGACAGGGAGTTTTTGCTGGATTTCCAGTTCATGCCAGCCTGTATACAGAAACCAGAGGGCCTGCCTCCCATCAGTGATGTGGTTCTTGACAAGGTAAACCATGCAATCAGAGAAAGCTTTGTCTTTTTGGTGAGAACTTGGTTTTAATTATCAGTACAAATATGTGAAGTATGAACTACTTTTAGGAATGTTAGACCAAATGGCATTTGAATTAAGATATGTAATGTTTAAGAATCAGAGTTTTCCTAAACACTGTTGGATTTGGGATTTATTATAGATTATAGTAATCTTGAGGTTTGGCCCATATTTGAGTGATGCAGTTTTAAAATGTATTAATTGTCTGCTTATTATGGCTATTTCCTAATGATGTGGTGAAAATTGTGTGTCTGTTGGGCTAATAGGGCTAAAGTGATACAGAGGTCTGTCCCCACTATTCTAAAATTTCTGTATGGAATTAGAAAGGCATTGAAGACAAGTCAGAAACCTAGAAAGGTATTTCGCAGATCAAACTGAAGTGGGAGTCAAACATAATTCAAATAATGTCTATCTCAAAATTTCCCTAATAGATACTTATAGTGATTAGTCTTCAATCCTGTGCAAATAGATAGGCACATTTTCTCTTTACGTCAGATTGTAATGGTGCATGTGGAAAATTAGTAGAGTCAGTGTTTATTTTGTTTGTTTATTAAATTAAAAAGAGTAAAGTCAGATATATATCAACTTGAGTAATTTCATGCAAATCAATGATGGACCAGTGCTGGTGACTTAGCTTGAAGTATTTTTGTTTTGAAGAGGAACCATCAATCTCTAATTAAAGTGTAGAGGTAACTCTCTTACAGAATGAGATCCACCTCTGATGGAGATTTCCAGAAGTTGCTTATCCAGCCCTTATTTATATTATTTTACTCTCTTAGAGCAACAGGTCTCCTTATTTCTCTTTATATCTAAGTCTTCTCTCTTAGGTGCTTATGTGGGGACAGTTGAGTGATTGGTGGTGCTAATTTGAGGCTACTTCAGTACTTCAGAGGGCAAGTGTTAACATTCACTGAATTAGATTCTCCTCTTAGAAAATACTCCTTTTTATCTTCCTACCTTATCTGTTTCTGACTTTCTGTTTCTGGTCAATCATGAGTTTCTCTCTCACTGAGCTGCTTAGCTTTGCTGAGTCTGTAGTCATATTGTATGCCTATGCAAAACCAGATCTCTCTCATTAACAAGGCAGATAAAGTGAGGTTTTAAGTGTCATCACACATGAAACATATCTCCTTTTGAGACTTATTTTCCACTCAAAATACATACTTTACTAACCATAAGTCAACAGTAACAAAACCAAAATGAGCAACAGCAGAATTCTGATAGGCAAGTGTTCCATGTCCTGGTGAATATCCTGGAGAAAAATCTCAACATTTGGCCCCAGTTCATAGGATCTCAAAATAGTTTATCTTGTGCCGTTCTAATGGTCCTGAGTGTCTAGTGAGTCAGTCCACTGATTGTATCTAGCCTCCCCTTGGGAATTTTAGGCCTAATCAGTCCCAGGGCACCAGAAAGCCACTGTTGACCTAAGGGCTCTAAGGTTGGCCCGGGAGAACTTAGCATGGTTCAAATTGGATTTCAGCTGGTGCGAGAAGCCAGTGCTTACCATTTCAGCTGACATAACTTTTCAGTCTGAGTTTTCATCTTTGTTGCACTGAATGTTCTGGAACTTGTGTTAAGCTTTTGTTTGCTTCTTCATGCAGATCAACCAACCCAAATTGCCAATGCGAACTCTGGATCCTCGGATTTTGCCTCGAGGACCAGATTTTACGCCAGCCTTTGCAGATTTTGGAAGGCAAACCCCTGGTGGAAGAGGTGTACCTGTAAGTGCAAGTTCCCTACAACCCAGTTAGTTAGAAACTGTCACAGCCTTCGTGACATCTTGTCTAAAGTCAAGAGAGTAGCTTTTATTCATTGATTCTTCTAACCGAGAAGAAGAAGGGGCGAAGACTGTCCTTGCCATCCTAAGATTAAAGCAAATAAAGGGCACACCTGAGTCGATTTACCTGAAAGAAACTGGTCTGCATTACTTTGGTCTTGATTTTTTTTTCATATTTTTTCAGTTGGAATGACCTGCAAATGGGTTAAAAATAGAGTGAACCTTGGATAGGATTCCTATTTTGTTTTGAGGTGTCCTGATATACTGGAAATCTCTGATGACATTCAGCTGATGGTCATCTCTTGTCTTTGTTTCTACAGATTTGCAAAGTGCAGAGCAGGCATGGCTTGCCAGTGCTGGAACAGAGTAAAGCCCCAACTTGCCCTCCAGTGGCGATGTCGCACCTACCCCTGAAGAGCCTGCCTCCAGGGGTGCGCTGAGTCCTTTTTTTAAAGAAAAACAATAGTTTATGGTGTTATAATATTTCCTGCTTTGCTCTCCTCACTAACTGTAGGTTGTGAAGTCAAAATATGAGCAAATGACGTGTATTAAAGAGTACAGCATTGGTAGACTGCAGGTTGCCTTTACCAGCCCAGTGGCAGGCTCCTCAGCGGGAGAAGTGGCATCAGCAGTGGAGTTGTGCTGGGGCGCTGCGCCATGCAAGATTGCTCAGCTCTGCCTGTTCCATGCTTTGTAGACCTGCAGAAAGCGTGGGGGGAAGTTGCCAGTGGCAGTGAATACCACTCTATTTCCCAAGTTGGAATGACATAGAGAGCACGATCTAAAGCTCTGGAGGAGCTCAAGGTTTGATGTACATTTGCAGATCACTCTGTTAAGACTACTTTATTTTATGTTTGTAAAAATATTTTTATATGAGGTGACACTTTTTATTTCCCTATCACCTTTTTATTTCTAGAAAGGTAGCTTTTGAAACCTGTTTTGAAATAACACTATACCATCTGAAAACAAATGTCACTTTGTAGATACTTGAATTATTTGATTGTTGGCTGCAGCCAAACACTGATTGAAAATACTTGAATGCCTAGAGAGCCAGCCCCGGTGGCCTAGTGGTTAAGTTAGGCACGCTCCACTTCGGCGGCCCAGGTTCGCTTCCCAGGCTCATACCTGCACCACTCATCTGTCAGTGGCCATACTGAGACGGTGGCTCACATACAAAAAATTGAGGAAGATTGGCAACAAATGTTAGCTCAGAGTGTATCTTCCTCAGCAAAAAAAGGAAAGGAAAAAAGAAAATACTTGAATGCCTAGAGTGTGTTGGAGGCTTTTTAAAACCTAGAAAAAATCTTAATTTGAAGCATATTATTTATTAAGCATCTGTGCATGTAATATTCTGTTTTCACACAGGTTTGAAATTTAGCCTTTATCTGTTTTCTCTAAATACTAAATTAAAGTTTTTCTAAAGTTTGAATTACGTCATCAGAAAGTCTGAGGAAGCAGCTTTCTAGAAACCATTTTATACCTCATTTTTCAGCATTATTTCCCTTTTTGGTGGTTTAAATTAAATTTCTGTTAGCATTTGTTTTTGGTTTAGTTTTGGTTTATATCTTTGTTTTGCCAAACATTTGAGATAATGTTGATGCCATTTTGATTATTCTCTGGTTAACAGCATCTGTGGTTGTCAGATTGCTCAATTTTGTTCATATGTCACTCACAGAAAATATGAATTGCCACGTCTACTCTTGTAGTGTATACTGTCACTCTTCATTACCAGCTTGCTATTGTCTAATAATTAGGTATAGCAAAAAGGAAATATTGTGAATTAAAAATAAGCTATATCTCTTTTAAAATATTGAAATTAGAAAATGAATTTTAAAAGTAACTATCACAATGTATGTTTGCCCAATAATCTATATGTCTACATATATCAGATAATTGGTGTGTTCAAAGTAATGTGACTGGAAATGAGCTGTTATCAAAAAATTGTAGTGTCTCCAAAAAGATCAGCTTCAATTATTTAATTCACTCTCTTTAAGTAGCTCTGTTATGTGCCACAAGCTAATTTTTAAGTGAAATTGTGACCTATCAGAGTAATATTGATATGTTAAACCTTAACGCAAATAATTATTCTTCCAGCTTCTCCCATAGTTAACAAACATTCTCCACTTAATTTATCCAGCTTTCCTTAGTATATTGCTGTAGGTACAGATGGGAAATTTATAGGACATATATATCTGACATATAAAGGAACAATCAGAAATGCTGTTTGGAAAAAAGCGGCAGTCCTGCTCTTTATAGTTTCTCGTTCCATACGTTTAATCATTTTTGCCAGCTTCCAAATTCATTTATAAATAATTACCACCCGAAGATATTAAGATCTAAGTATGCTTCATAGTATGGCTTAACTAGCGATGACTCCTAATATAAGCTTTCCTGCAACAGACTTGTTAAAAAATATTTTCAATACATAGCAATTGTTTTAACATGTCATATGCAGCTCCATACAATTTTCAAACATAAAGGTCCTTTGATGACAGTAAAGTGCGTATCTGTTGTAAGCACTCAAGCAGTATCATCTCTCCAGTTTTTAAAAGTCGAATTACTTGGCACTTGTGGTGTAATATTAATAGTAATCTTTTGGCAGACATCATAGAAAGTTCCCCCAAAGAAATGTATGAGAAGAGGGGCTGTGGGCCTAGACTAGTAGCTTGCCGTTCATATTCATTTCAACGGACTCTGAGATCAGCTGAGCTGCTGGAAGGATCCTAGGAGTAGAGAGAGCTGTCCTGAGCTCCTGTCATTCTTCCCTCTCTCCTTAAAGGAGCACTTGGTTGTCTCTCTTTAAAAATTGCTAAGATGAATTTTGGTCTTGTTTTCTTTGGTTATTCAGGTAAGCAGAAAAGTTTGAGGTTGTCTCAATGAAATAGGAGCAATGTATATTAAATTTTATAACAGAGATGGGTATAATTTCTTATTTAATACATTTGAGAAAAGTATATGACAGTGAGTAAAAAATTTAAACTTCCAGCTCACCTGAAAAAAATTGCCACTCACTGGTTAATCAACCCCAAATTTTGATACTTCATTTTAGTTGTGACGTTTGTGGACCTAAGCACATCACACCTTAAAGCTCTTCTAGCCCTCCATCAGAATGGTCTGTCCTTCAAGCAGGAGACCAGGCTGCCTTTCTGTGTTTATACTCTACAACTCTTAGCACAACATCCTGGATTTTGTTTGTGTTTAGTACGTCATTCATTATATACGGTGCAACTTTTGAAGGATAACATAAATTTGACGATTTGTATTAAATGTTTCACACACACAAAAAGGACATGAAATGTTTAAAGGTAATCACACTAATCTACATATCACTTTTTAAAAAGTTCCTTTTCTTCTTTGATATTGGTGATGATACCTTACGTAGTTTTAAGGTCCTTTTATATGGCTTGTATCCCATGGTCCTCATAGCAACTTTTGTAGGTAGAACAAGCATTTAATGTATGAGAAACTTGCTCACGGTACCTTTGCTCGTAAGCAGCAGATTTGGACACAGTTCCTTTGCCTCTGACTGCCTCTCTTCTCCTGCACCACAGTGCTTGCAGGCATTGATGCTCCAGACGGGGAATACATTCCCAGAGTTTGCACATGAGAATGCTAGAGATTAATTCATTATGTTACGAATTTTTAAGAATAGTAAATCTGTTGAGGACTGAAAATACTTGGATAAATATTTGTGAGCATTATCTTAGTTATATCCAGAGATGCAAACATAATTTTTAAATTTGTCTGGGGAGTTTGCAAATGGGTTATAATTTCAACTTTTTTATCCTGATCTAACATCTTATCAGTTATCTTTTCAAAACTTTTTTCCTTTGCAACATTGTTGTAACCTTTGTAGTAATATTTCTCACATTTCTATGCTGCTCATTTGAAATTCACACATATTTATCTTGGCGCAGGTAAAAAGATGTGGCGTAAATCATATTTACTTTCTAAATTCAAATTTCAAGGCATATTCATTAGTTTTTGCAGTATTTTTTGGAAATGGATATTTTCTGACTTTGCTCAAATATGGTTAAAATTGTATCCTTAAATTATACATACTATGGCTCTTACATGATTTTGACGTAATTGCTTTTCGTTGCACTATCAACCTTTGTTCTTGACAAATTTTTATGTGCAAATGCATGGATTAAGTTAAATGTCTTAGAATATATTTATTTGAACTTTATCCAAGCATTGAAAAAGATACTAACCCATATGAATCAACACTAGAATGTAACCTGAATTATAAAAACCAGACAATACTTGGTTTACTGCATTTTCTGAACAGAATTATTTTGTCTGGGCTACCATATCAAAATTTCAATTATAAATATAGTAGTACTGTTTGGTTTAGCAACTGTTTCCTGTTGGTACTTTTCCAGTCTGATGATCCTCTTTAGTTCTCTTTCACTGATACCATGCCTAGTACCTCTGGATTTATCCGACCTCAGTTTTTTTAATGTTTACCAAATAGTCTGAGATTATATCACCACTACTGAGTCCTTAGCTGTATATATTTGACAAGATTCGTGTTTATTGCCCAGAAATTCTAACCTTTGAGCCTGATATATCCTTGATACTGCCATTTCTAACTAGGGGAAATAGTGAAGTGTAAGAGAATAATCTGAGAATGAGTAATCTATAAAGGCTTTTAAACTTATCAGCTTAGGCCTCAGACCATGTCTCTCTTGCAACCTGTCTTTTTATATAAAGCATGACATTTAAGTTTCTGCTTCTGTCTCTAAGGCTTTATATGAGTTCCAAAGGGCAGTGTTAGGGTATTAAGTGAGATGATTCTGTTCTATATGTCTTGTGTGAAGCTGGGTTTTTTCCTACCCTCTTGAAATCTCATGGCAATATTTACTCAGCATTTACAGAATGATATATCACAAAAAGTACAGGCTGTCAATATGCAACAGTTCTGGAAAGAGCAGAACTGTCAACCCAAATATTTAACCTTCAAAAATTATTTCCAGGCATTTAAGGTAGCAACTATTATGAATATTTTAATACACAGAATGCAACTTTTACCTTACACCATTATCTCTTGCAGTAATAGTTCTTCATTTGATGACCAGTGTGACATGCCAACATGCATTGGTTTTTTTTTTACTTGCTGAGCAAGGTTCACCCTGAGCTTAACATCTGTTGCCATCTTCCTCTTTTTGCTTGAGGAAGATTTGCCCTGAGCTATCATCTGTGCCAGTCTTCCTCTATTTTTTATGTGGCTCACCGCCACAGCATGGCTGCCGGTGAGTGGTGTAGGTGAGTGCCCAGGAAACGAACCCGGGCTGCAGAAGCAGAGCACACTGAACTGAACCACTAGGCCACAGGGCTGGCTTCCACAACATACATTGGTTTTAACAGAATGAGTATAGTGGGACTCTAGCAGGAACAAAGAGCTGGCAAAGAGAGGAAGACGTTTTTTTCAGGGAGAAGTTTAGTTGAATCTCATTGACGATATGAGAAAGACTTATTTTAGGTATTTCTGGCCCAGCAAATTTAGAGGGATCCATTAAGATCTCCAGTAAGGCTGGGTGTTTATGCCACAGAAAATTTTTGTGATAAGGTTGTATTTGCATTTCACACTGGAAGTTTAGAAACCCAGTTTTTGAAGCAGATTTGTAATTCTGATGATTACTGCCTATGAATTTTTGTATTCATTCAAGTGACCACTCTAAAGTCACACAGCTAGTAAAAAAAAAAAAACTTCACTTAAGGGTAGTCTTTTTTGTTAGGAACAACAGCTTTATTAAACATAATTTTCCATCACTTTATTTATCTCATTTAGGACTTGAGGTCAAAAATTGAAGTGGTAGAGAACATTACATTGATTGTATTCTAAGTCGTCACTGCCTCCTGACCCCCGCCCCCCAGAAAAAGAGTTCACATCTAAATTGAGTGACTAATAGCCATCTTTGTGTCTTGAGTGTTTGGTGTGATCATCAGGCTTGACATGGCAGCAAAGCAGAGAGAGTAGATTGTAAGTACTCTGTGTAGATATAATAAAGAATATTCTTGTCCTAGTTGTTGAATGTTGGACCACGGAGATCTCAACCCAGCCAGAGAAGAGAGCCCAGGAAGATCATCACAGTCCCTGTAAAAGAAGACGTGCACCTGAAAAAGGCAGAGAATGCCTGGAAGCCCAGCCAGAAACGAGACATCCAAGCTGAGGATCCCGAAAACATTAAAACCCAGGTGAGAACAGAAGCACATTCTGACATTGTTTTGGAAATATAATGATATTATTTTAATTTGTCATTTTGTCCTATTAATATATGTAGAGATCTTTGTTTTAAGATTTTTTGTGATTATTTTCCTATTAAAAGCATTATTCTAAAAGCCATCATGGATGCCAATAAACCTACTAGTTTCTCTTGAAATTGCTTTCTGTGTGCTTTTCAAAACAGACACTATGTCTAGAGGGTTCATATTGTCAAAGACTTCTATCCTTTAGGCTTAGATCAAAATTTGCTTTTCTTAAAAATGTGTTTTTAGATTCTCGGTGATTAGCCAGTTATTGTCTATTAGTACGTTGCTTTATGTCTCCTTGTCAGGCCTCCATTTCTAATAAGTTAGAATGTAGAAATCCATCTTGTTTTAGTGTCTTTGGGAGTAACAATGAATTCTTTGCATGTTTCTGTGCATATCCTGCCCTCAGAACTCCTTCTGGTAAATTGAATGAATTCCTTTAATCTACACAAAATTATTTTTTATGTCAAATTATGTAAAATCTTTATTCATCTTTTGCTGTACACACAATGCCAGTTCTTATCCCTGGGTTACCTCTCGTATCTCCTTTGGATATTTTTGCTTCTAGGCACCAAAACTAGAGTCTCTTCCTGAACTTTGCATCTGTCCCAGAGCCAGGCATCACAGATCACATAACAACTTTTCAGTGTCTGATTCCTTATATATCTTTCCCTTCACCACGAAGAGTTTAGTATAGCAGTCAAAAACTCCAGCTCTGGAGACACAGGCAAGTTGTGTTAGGCAGGTTCTTAATCTCAACTGTAAAATGAAGATACTAATATTACCTACCTCATAGGGCCATTTTGAAGATTAAATGGTTCCTAGAGTCCGGTTAGGTGTCAGTGTGATGGTGTTGCTGGCACTGGAGATGTGCCTTGTATATCTTGATTTTGATTCAGCACCAACACAGAACCTCATACATAATAGATACTCAGTAAATACTTGTTAAATGAATAAACTAACAAACAAAGTTGTTAATACAAAGTCAGGACCAAGATGAAGTAATCCATCACAAAGCCGTGCTGTCCAACCTTAACTGACTGCTTGCTTTTATTATTCTTTTTAGTGATTTCCCCAAACATCTGTCCCTAAGTGCATCCTTCTCCAGATTCACTGAAATCAAGTACCTAATCTTCCCTTCATTTCTTCTCAGTATATCTGAACCTTAATAAAAAAAAGCAAACCTTTGACATCCCTTCCTCTAATCCCCCTGAGAAATGCTTATATATCTGAGAATGGGCCTAAATGACTTGCAAAGATAGTTAAAAGTCCTGCTGGATCTTTATTGTTGAAGATGAAGATGTCTTGTTTTAGTATTTAAGGCACTCGTATTGATGCCTTATTTCATTAGATTCTTACAACACCCTTAAAGGAGGGAGTAGCTACTGTCTCTTTTTTCCTCATGAGGAAACTGAAGCTTTCAGAGATCGAGTTACCCACAGTGTTGTGGTTACTGAATAGTCCATTTGTTGTGACTTGTAATCTTCCTCTCTTTCTTCTGTAACAGAGTTGTCCCCATTAATGATTTATTTGTATTTCAGAAACATAGCAATAATTATATTGACTTCAACTATCATTAATTAGCTGTTTTCTTTCATGACTACCTAAAGCAAATCCAGTAGAGAATTAATAGATTTCTTTTTCAGGGCCGGTACAACCTTCATTTTCTTAATAATTTGTCTTCTAAATTCCGAGCCCCCTTGCTTCATTGCCTCTTTTTGGTGTCTTTGTTCTTCTCTGTATAGGTCTACTCCATGTTGACTTGTTGCTCCTGCTAATTGTTGTTCTGTCTCTTTCCTTTTTGTCAGAACAATGGTTTTATTGTTGCCTCCACTTCCAGAATACTCTTCCACTCTTGTTCCTACTGTTGTGTTAAAACAACATTATGGGGGCTGGCCAGGTGGCACAGCGATTAAGTTCGGGTGCTCTGCTTCAGCAGCCTGGGGTTCACTGGTTTGGATCCCGAACGCGGACCTATGCTGTGGCAAGTGTCCCACATATAAAGTAGAGGAAGATGGGCACAGACCTTAGCTCAGGGCCAGTCTTCCTCAGCAAAAAGAGGAGGATTGTTGGTGGATGTTAGCTCAGGGCTAATCTTCCTCAAAGAAAAAAAAAAAATATATATATATATATATATATATATAAACAAAAACATTATGAATGACCACCAATGACCTTATTCTTCCTATATCATAAGATTTCATCTTCTCCTTGAAGCAGTTCTAGAAAATCATTGCCTTGTGACATGTCTAGACTCTTAGACGTACATACACTACTGTGGTGGTTCCAATTCTAGGGTCCCCTGCTTCATCTCTCTTTTTCTCTTGATACAACATTCTTAACAGCTGCTGCCTGACTCATCTACCTGAAGCGTTGATTTTTGTCTCTCCACCCTAGCTTTTAACTTGTCATTTAAGACCTCGTTGTTTCTCACAGCCAGTGCACACTGGTCCTCTGATCTTTCCTTGTTGTTCTCGAGTCTCAAAATATAAAATCCTCAGTAACAATTCTTTCTTAAAATGTTTTCCTCTTCCTAAAATGTCTTCTCCCCTTTCTTTTCACTTAGCCAGCTTTTTTTGTCCTTTGTATTCTGGCCCAGTTTTCAATTCCTCTTTAAGGCATCCATCTCTTGACTAATGCAGTGCCTTTGAGCTCTCTTGTACCTAACCTACTCCCTTCTTTGGCTTCCAATCCACCTCATGCTTGCTGTGTCACTCCACTTGTAACTGTCTTGTCTCTGTGGCTAAATTTCAGTGGTATAGAAGGCAGTACCTGTTCCTTGTGTTTCATTTGTACCAAAGACAGAATTTGTTGGGCATCAAGTAGATAGTCAGTTATGGTGAATAAATGATTTTCAATAAATTTTTTGTTGTAGTGTTTTGATACTGGAGATTTTTTATTATTGAGCATAATTGCCACATAACATATTAGTCTGAGGTGTACAACGATTCGATATTTGTATATTTTACAAACTGATCACCACAGTTAGTCTAGTTAACATCCATCGTCATACATAGGTACAAAACTTATTGTTTCTTATAATGAGAACTTTTAAGATCTGCTTGCTTAGTAACTTTCAAATATCTAATACAGTATCATTAACTATAGTCACCATGTGCATTACTTCAATAAATTACCTCTTCATTATCCTGTTTTCCTGAGAGTAAAAATTATCTTCTGAAATATCTGAAGATATTTGAAGGGTTTTTTTCCTTGATGTTAAAGCAGTTTAAAATTTTAGACCTAAACTCTACTATCTCAGCTGATAGAATTTAAAGAAGTGCAGTGACTCTCCCCTTCCCTAATAAACTTTGAATGTTTTTCTTTATAAAAAGAATACTGATTCATTGCTGAAAAACTTCACAATATAATTTTCAAAAATTTACTGTCTCCTGCTTAGTGAAAACTCTTAACATATTGGCACATATCTAAAAGTCCTTATATTCAGATACTAATTTTTATAGAAATCAAATCATTTTATAGGCCTTTTCAGTTATATCATAGTTTCATGGATCTTTGCAACTTAATAATTTTACTAAGGGATTATTTACATTTAGTAAAATGTACTTTTTTGTATACAGTTCCACAGTTGTTGACAAATACACAGTCATTTAACTACCACCACAATCAAGATGGAGAACATTTCCCTCAGCCTCCCGAAATTTCCTTGTTCTGCTTTGTGTTCATCCTCTCCCTCCGTGCCCATCTCTAGCAATCACTGATCTTTTTGTCCCTATAGTATTGCTTTTTCCAGAATATCATATAAATGGAATCATTTTGAATATTGCTTTTTTCACTTAGCATGTACATTTGAGATTCATCCATAATATTACATACATGATTAGTTTATTGTGTTTTTTTTTTAATTACCCAGTAGTATTCCATTGTTGGAGTATACCACAAATTCTTTATTCATTCACAGGATTAGTAGTTTCTAGGTTTGGGCAATTATGAATAAAATCCCTATAAACATTCACATATAGGATTTGTGTGAACATAAGTTTTTATTTCTTTTGGGTAAATTCCTAGCTGTGAGATTGGTGAGTTGTAAATACAGGTTTAACTTTATTAGAAAACGCCAAACTGTTTTCCAAAATGATGTACCATTTTGTATTTCCACTGGCAAGGCATGAGAGTTGCAATTATTCCACATCTTCATCACACTTGTTATTTCCTGCTTTGTAAATTTTAGCCATTCCTAATGGATGTGTGGTAGTATCTCAGTGTAGTTTTCATTTGCATTTCCCAAATGACTTAATGTATTGAATAAGCACATCTTTTTGTGTGCTTATTTGCCATTCATGTATCTTCTTTGGTAAAATTTATGTTCATATGTTTCATTGAGTGGTGTGTTTTCTTATCATTGAGTTTTGAAAGTTTTTTGCATATTCTGGATACAAATTTTTTATGAAATGTGTGTTTTGCAAAAATGTTCTTCTAGTCTGGTTTGTCTTTTTATTCTCTTAATAGTGTCTTTTATAGAGCAGAAGCTTTTAGTTTTGGTGATGCTCAGTTTATCAATTTTGTCATTTATATGTTGTGCTTTTGCTGTTATTTCTAAAAAAATTTTGTATAACCCAAGAATACAAAGCTTTTTTCCTATGTTGTCTTCTACAGCTTATAGTTGTAGATTTTACGTTTTGGTCTGTGATCCAGTTTTACTTAATTTCTGTATTATGTGCAAGTTATGATGAAGTTGACTTTTTTTTTGTTTTGCTTATGAATATCCAGTTGTTACAGCACCATTTGTTGAAGACTCTCCTTTCTCCATTGAGTTTCCTTTGTGCCTTTGTTGAAAATCACTTCATCGTACATATGTGAATTTATTTCTAGACTTTCTCTTGTGTTCCAGTGATATCTGTCTGTCCTCTGCCCAATGCCACACTGTCTTTGTATAACAGCCTTTTATAGTAAGTGTTGAAATCAAGTTGTATGAGTCCTCTTTGATATTTTTCAAAATGGTTTAGGCTATTCTAGTTTTTTTATTTTTCCATATAAATCGTAGAATCAGCTTCTTGATTTGGACAAAAAAAATCCTACTATGATTTTTATTTTGATTGTGTTAAATCTGTAGATCAAGTTAGAGAAAACTGACACCTTAACAATTATGAGTCTTCTAATACTTAACATGATATAGATCTCCATTCATTTAGTCCTCATTGATTTCTTTCATCAGTAATTTATAGTTTGCATCATACAGCTCCTGTGGATAGGTTGTTAGAACCTTAGGTGAGTATTTCATGGTTTTTGGTGCCATTGTAAATGGTACTTTTCAAAAATGTAATTTATGTAGTTGTTCATTGTTAACACATAGAAATAAAATTGATATTTGTCTATTGTCTTGTGTTCTGCAGTCTTGCTAGGTTGATTTATTAGTTCAGGTATATCTCTTTTTGTGGATTCCTTAGGATTTTCTATGTAGACAGTCATATCATTTGTGACTGAAGAGTTTTATTTCTTCGTTTGCAATCTGTATGGATTATAGTTCTTTTTCTTTGCTTTATTGCACTGACCAGGACCTCCATTGTAATTTTGAATAGGAGTGGTGAGCATGGACATTTTTGGCTTGTTCCCAGTCTTGATGGGAAAGCATTCATTCTTTAACCATTAAGTATGGTTATAGATGCCATTTTCTTGTAGTGGAAGTTCTGTTCTGTTCCTAATTTGATAAGAGTTCCTACACCATCATCTGAAAAATTCCTGCCAGGTATTCTCTACCATGATTTATATTGTACAATATCTTAGACAAATTCCTATTTTAAGACATTTATTTGCTATTTGGAGCTATTGATGGAAGTTATTGTGGCTGAAATATTTTATACCTATGCTTATATATGAATTAATTTCTAAAAGTATAATTGCTGATTCCAAGGGCAGTCACAGTTTTAAAGCTCTGAATGCACATTGCCAAATTGCCCTTAGAAATGTACCAGATGATACTGCCACCAGTGAAGTATGACTATACCTAGTTCCTAGAATTCTCAGAAGGAGTGAATAAGAGGTGGTATAAGTGTTTACTATTTTTAAAATAGATGGGTTCAATTATTTCTCTGACTAGTTCACAATTTTTGTTAATTTGGGAAATTTGACTTACGAATTACAAAAATATTAATCCTTACAAAAAACATCAAATTGTCACAGTCACTATATTGCTGTTTTCTTTTTTGTGGCTCTTCTAGGAACTTTTTAGAAAAGTTCGAAGTATCTTAAATAAATTGACACCACAGATGTTCAACCAACTGATGAAGCAAGTGTCAGGACTCACTGTTGACACAGAGGAGCGGCTGAAAGGAGTCATTGACCTGGTCTTTGAGAAGGCTATTGATGAACCCAGTTTCTCTGTGGCTTACGCAAACATGTGTCGATGTCTAGTAACGGTAAGAAGACAGGAAGGAGTAAAACCAGAAATCTCCAAGAGGTATATTCTCCCCTCACTACACATTCTTCCCAGAAGTGTTATTGGGGCAACGTAAAGGGGAGAATATATTTTTAGCACTTATTAATGTAATATCCTCATTGTATAAAAAGAATCTTGCTTTATTAAAATGTATACTCACCTCTGGAGGTGATGTGGAGATTAGACTGAAATAGGCATGCTATGGTCCCATCCAATGTGAGAAAGATTGAATAAGGTTTAAATTAGTAATCTGAAGTTATTGTCATGGGTAACCAATTTTCCTTGGGGTGTCATGTTACAGAAATAAAGTGAATGCATGTATACACATTTAATTAAATTCAAAATTGAAAGACATATTGGTTCTAATTCTAGCTTCTGAAAATGATACAATAGTTGTGGTCATAAGGGTTCACAACTAATAATTTCATCTCTTAGAAACTATTAGATCTCTTTCTCTTGACATTGTCCACAGACGTTTAATCTCCATAGCCTGTCAAATCTAGGGCAAGACAGAATGGGAAACCAAAGAGCTTCTGGTTAGTGTTCCTTGTCCTGTATTCTGCAGTCATAAAACTGCCATGTACCATACGTGTTTTCTCTGCCTGTTACAGTTACCAAGGTATTTGTGTCAGAAATGTGTGTCGTCTAACATTTGAGTTTTTTCTTAATTATCACAACTCATTGTCATGCCTCCCTACAAAATACAAAATTCTATCATTCTATCAATATTTTTGGGTACCTATGTAAAAGGTAGGTAAGTCTATTGGGACTTGGAAAAATTTTATCTTCTGTCTTTTAAGGAACTCAAATTCATATTGAAAAATATTAACAAGAAAAAAATCGCTTATAAGGTACGCTGTGATACAGCAGTGTGTTGGTGCCTGCATGGATAGGTTAGAGTTGCAAATCAAGTCGGAGGAAAAAGAAATCACTGTGTTGGTGAGACAGTGACAAACTCTTACCATCCAGGTAGTTTGAGTGGGGTCTGGGAAGATGGGGAGTACAAGTATAGAGAAGGAAGAACATATTCCAGGCAGGATCAAGTCTGAGGCAGCAAGCATGGCATAATGGTTATAAACACTGGCTTTGGAGTCTCACAGTTCTAGGTGTAAAATTTAAACTTTAATATTAAATGAGATTGTTTGTGTAAAGTTCCCAGCTCAGTATTTGGCCCATAGTAAAGTCCTAAATAATTCAATAACTATATTAGTGGTGGAAAAGATGGCAAAGATTTTGAAACGCTGACTACAGAATGAGGATGATGGTAGTAACAGAAACCATCTATTCAGCACTTACTAGATTGCACTATGGGTAGATGCTTTACATAGTGTATTATTTTTAATGGTTATTATAACCCTGAAAGCTAAGTAGTATTAGCCTCACATTATTAAATCAGAAACTGAGACTTTAAAAAAGATAAATAACTTGCTCAAGGTCACATAACTAGTAAGTGGCTGTGCTGGAATCCAAATCTAGGATTATTTAACTCAGTCACTTGCCATATTGACTTCTAATGTGCCAGTTACCTGGAAGCAAACTGATTCTGCATCTCATGCCCCTCAGTTTCATCGTGGTAACCGTGACATCCTGTAGTCGCTCGTTAGAAGTAGGACTAGACCCCAGATCTTCTGGCTGGCACCACAGTTCTCTTTACCAGTTTTGATCCTTTAGGCAGTGAAGGGTTGTTAATGTTTCTTAATAGAAGAGTATCCTTGCTGAAAATGACTTTTGCAAAGGCCTGGTAATAATATAAGTTGGATTGGAATAGGAAGAAATTATAGATAAGCCATCCACTTAGATGACTTTTGCTATGATCTACCCTTTTTTAAGTAAGATGTTTTAAACTTTGTTGGATTATTTTTAAATTACAAAATAACAACCTATTGGAATAAGTCCAGCAATATAGAGGTATACAAAGAAGTTAATACTCTTCAGTTACAGCCCTAGCCAGTTAAGCCTCCCTTCCCTCCAAGGCAGTCAGTTTGAATGGTTTGCAAGTATCCTTCCATAATTTTGTTTATATTTATGAAATCATATAAAAACATATATATATAAAGAGGATGTTTTTCACTTTAATTGAATTATAGCATCTGCATTGTTTTGTAGTTTGCATTGTTATTATTTAATATGTTTTGGGCATCCCCCTAGGTCATTACAGATAGATTTTACTCATCCTTTTTTTAGTAGTTACATAATATCCCATAATATGTATATACCATAATTTTTTCAGCCATTTCTCTGCCTCTCCCACTCTCGTATCATCCTCTCCCTCCCCCCCATCCCCTGGTGGTTTCTGGGTTTGGGTTTTTTTTACAACCGCAAGCAGTGCTGCACTAAACATCTAAGTATATTTATCCTTACCTGCTGGAGCTTTTACTTCTTTGGCATAAATTTCCCCAAAGTTATATCATAAAGTAAAGCATATGTTTTTAAACTTTTTCTTAGTTGAAGTGTAACAGACATACATGCTGTTTGGGAAAATAAAAATTCCTCATTTATAGTTTTGTCAAGTTTAATGATGTAAATATTCTTCATTGCTGATTTTAAACTACCGGCAGTTTGACAGTTGACTCACAAAGTTCCTATTTAACAGTTGGCTGTTATGAATCAGTGTGAGCCAGCTTTATCATGCATACAGAAAAGAATATAAATCATTAATGTACAGCTCACTGTATATCAGCAGAGTGCACACCTCCCAACCTGGTCAGTATATAGAACTGTACCCTTCCCTCTTTCGTAAAGGTAACCCCTGTCCTGACTTCCAACACCTAATCTACTTTTGAGATACTGAGGGCCTGAAATAAAACGATGGCAATGGGAATAAAGTCATAGGTGCCTAATACAAACCAAATACAAAAATCAAACAAAAACAAGAGTAATGAAACTAGATGTGAAAAGCTAATCTTTCAAGGGAAAATTGAGGAGATTATCTTCATGAAATTTAAGTAGGGAAAAATTTCTTCAGCAAGATTCAAAATGGACATAAAGAAGAAGAAGATCACATTTAACTGTTAAAATTTACAATCCTTGGTGCATCAGATGATGCCAGAAATAAAAAGATAAAGCCACAGCCTGGGAGAATCTCTTTGGAATACATATAACTGACAAAATATTAGAATTCAGAATTAGGCAGAAGCAGCAAATTATATTTTTTTTAAAAAGCGCCCAATTAAAAAATGAGCAATTCATAGAAATGAAAATCTGTTGGCTGATAAACTTAAGACAAGTTTATCTCAGTGATAACTGAGTTTTATCACTAAAGAATAACTCAGTGTTATTTATTATTTGGGAAATAACAAGATAAACCACAATCCTATACAAGTCATGTCCATTAGAGTGAAAAAAAAAATGAAACCATTTTAAAATGTCAATAAAGATAAATACAGTCACTTTAGAGAGTAATTGGACAATAATGTTGAAAATGATCATATACTACTCCCAAGCAATTTTACTTCTTGCTGAATACCTCAGAGAAATTCCCAGATGTGCACCAGTAATCATATATAAAAACGTTTGTGTATTGGCTTTAATAGTGCACAGTAGGAAACAATTGAAACAAGCCTAAGTAAGACAATTAAGAGTATACCACAATTATTTGTTCAGTGGATTTGAATAGTGATGTATATGCATAGCAGTTAGAATTAATGAAGTAATACTAAATGTATTAGCATGGATCAACCTAAAAAATAGTACTTGAATAATAGTATGACACCATTTAAGGAAGTTTTGTAATATGCAAAATAAAACTATTCATTAAATATGTAAAAATGAAGTGACACAAATTGAGAATACTAAACATCAAATTCAAGGTGAGAGAGAAGGAAGTGATATTGAGGAAAAGTACGCAAGGACAAGTATTAGGACCCTGCTATTGACAGGTTAGGTAGTTCAGGCCCCAATTAGAAAAGCTGGTCACAACATTAAGAAATCTTGAAGGCATCAGAAAACTAAAAGACAATAAAGAATTACTAAGACTCAGATCCTAAAAAAGGTGGAAATTCAAAGAAAAGTGACACATTTGGTAAAACTTCTGCCTAGAAGAGGCAACTAAAAGTCTTAAACAACTTGTTTTTCATAGACATGTTGGACTGGAGGGACAAAATTCGGACCAGGGCCTCCGAGAGGAGTGGGGGAAGGGCTCTAGTGAATCCTCCTCTCCGGCAGGCTGGGGTCCCAAAGGACTGCATGCTTGGACAAGGGTGAACCAGAAAGTGACCTGCTCTCACAGGGACTGTACCTTAATATCACACCATCTCAATCCTTGAATTTGAATTATAGTGACTTCAGAGTTAGTAATCCCTTTAGAGACTATCATACTAGTCTTCAAATTATTTCTATGAACAATTTTTCAAATAAAATGTCGAGCACACAGTTAGAAATAATTAGGTAGAAAAGGGAAGAAAGACAGCATGAATGAGAACCAGCAACAAATGTAGCCCAGGGCCTCCACATCTTGGCTTTATCAGGAGCAGATGTTAAATGACTATACTTATTGTGTTCAAAGTGATAAAGATAGATGGAAATTTCGACAGAGAACAACAAAGTATGAAAAGAACCAAATAGGAATTCCAGAACTAAATATTATAGTAAAAGTAAGAGCTTAATGTGGGTGGGTTTAATAGAAGATCAGACACAGCTAGAGAAAAGACTGAGGAACTGGAAGATAGGTCTGTAGAGCTCAGAATGAAGCACAGAGACCAAAGATGAAAAGTACAAAAGGGAGAGTAAGAAATAGGGAGAACTCAATAGGACCAAACCGCTTTAATAGGAGTCCTAAGAGGAGAGAGGATAGAGTGAAAAAAAGCAATAGTTGAAGAGCGTGGCTGAGAAATTTTTTACAACTACTGAGATGTTAAGGTCACAGATTCAAAAAAATCTACAAATTCCCAACATGAATTTAAAAAAAAAAAAAGGTAAAAATGAAGGAAAGCTTTTAGACTAGTCATAATAAAGCTACTTAGAAGAAAAGATAAAAAAAGT